TGACAGGGAGTCTCCATCAGTCAGTCCACACTGACTTCCTGTGACAGGAAGTCTCCATCAGTCAGCCCACACTGACTTCCTGTGACAGGGAGTCTCCATCAGTCAGTCCACACTGACTTCCTGTGACAGGGAGTCTCCATCAGTCCACACTGACTTCCTGTGACAGGGAGTCTCCATCAGTCCTGCTCTTGAATTCTGTCAGCAGCACTATAGCATCACACAGAGGACACTGTACTAGTAATATAAGAAATAATACCTTGTCTGTATCATAGCTCTAATGAGGGGAGGGTGTTCTGTGTTTTTGAAACTGAACTGAATTTAGGTTGACACTGGTCATTCTGGTTAAAAATCACAAAAAGGAGGGGGGGGGGAGAGAGAGAGAGAGAGAGAGAGAGAGAGGAGGAAGAAGAAGAAGAAGAAGAAGAAGAAGAAGAAGAAGAAGAAGAAGAAGAAGAAGAAGAAGAAGAAAAGAAACAAAACATTTAGATGAAAGATTTATCTTGTGTTCCCTCAGAAAATACTTTTAGGTCTGCAGTGCCCCATAAATACAGGAGACTCTGGTCTAGAGAGTATTGATGTGAGAAAATGTCAACATTAAATGAATGAAGAGCTTTTAAGAAGCCCATTATGACCACTTACCCGGGAAAATGTAGTTCCCATTAGAGGCCGAGTTGGGAGCTTTGATTGCTTACTGAAGCGTGAAGGCTGCTGGGGGAGGCAAATCATTTTCATAGCGTCCGTCCACTGCCCACCTCTTCCTGGTTACTCTGCTGCCGTGCTTCGAGCTGAACTGAGAGTATCTGTCTCCTTTAAAGAATCACAGAAAACAAACACAAATGAACACAATAATTAATGTAATCATTGGGGGCAGGGGGCTTGATTAGTTCTAAACAGAACAGTAGCAACCGATACCGGTTCTCCCATTGTTTATTCTCTCCCTCCTTTGCCTGTTTTTTTTTTTTTTATCAATATTTTCCTTCTAGAGTGAAATATTAGCTTCTGGCCAAGCTTTCGATATAAAACATTTTCCAACTAGGTTGCTATGATTTCATTTTTAGGCACGAGGAGAAATCTAGTAAACAGAGACTATAACATATTTGTGACATGTGGAAGAGAACTTTAAAATAAGTCATGTGGCCCCGGGAGGATAGAGAGCCTAGCATTTTAGGTTTGAGTCCATTCAAGACTCTGAAGGAAGCTGGAAGGGTTCTACATCACACATCAAATATATATGTGTATATATTTGTGATTGTATGTGTATGTTATATGTACACATATATATGTGGACACATACCCAATATATATAACACGCGCACACGCGCACACACACACATATATACGTATATACATATATATATGTATATTATATAACACATTTAAAGCTTACCTTATGTTGAGTTTTTATCACCAACTCTGGATTAATTTGACCTCTGAAATAACATTTTCTACTAATTGTAGTACCATATTCTTGGGGAAAGTCAAAGGAAGTGTCAACAGAAGGTGCTGTTTGGCCTGAAGGCAGTGTCACACAGTCTATGATGCAATGCCCTGAGATAACAGATAACAGGTGAACCACATTCCTGAAGGGGAGAGGACGGAGCACACTAAGAAAGGCGTGTGCTAGATCTGCTCAGGAGAAGGAAGCAAGCTCAAGCTTAGGAAAGGAGTGAAGAAAAGGGTAGAGTTGAGAAAGAGTTCAAACCGTAGTGTGGAATAGAGCTAACTAGAGTTGGACCTTCAGCTCCCATCCTTATCACCCAGACTCTTGGATGAACATAAATTTCCACGACTCGCTGTAGTTTGGCTCCCATGCCCACTGCTCTTTGAACTCAGTTCTGGTTGATAGGACCAGCTACATTTGTCTTGACTGGCACCGTCTTTGCTGCAACACTGGCTGTTGTAGATCCCATCCTACATTATCTGGTTCATCTCTGATTGCTTATGACTCCACAGGTTATTACAAGGCACCCAAGTGTACCAAATGGAATCTAAACCCCTGTTCAGTGCTCTTGAGTAAGGGAAATGAATTGATGTCTCTCTCTGCCCCCCACACAGTGAGGATTTCTGAGTGAAGTGGCTCTAAGGATTAATGAAGTAGGTGATGGACCGAAATAAATGACATGGCATTCGGCATGAAGATTGACTGACTCCCTTTTTCCACTCCTACCCTTCTGATTAGGTAGCCCCTCCTGCTGGGGTCCCTCATCTCTCTTTACTATTGCAGTCCCCAAATACTTTATCAAATGTTACCTTCATCAAAATAGAACCTTTTATGTTCTAAATCCCGAGGGTTATTTTTAGGTAGTTCAAAGCTGCTGCCACACATTGGTTATTGCTCACGTTTATTTGCCCCACTGGATGAATTTTTATTTGCTTATTTATTCTTATATTTTTGAAGGCACAGCCCATGCCGAGCTTCCAGGGTGATCTCATCATGTTATTTTTTCTTTCTTTTTCTGCTAATGGTAACCATATGCTGCAAGTTTCCTCTTCTTCTTTCCTCTAGTTTTTATTACCCTTCTGTGCTTTCATTGTAACCAAATTAACTAGAGACTATAGAATGTCTCCAGCTGACTACCCACAGGTCCTTGGAAGCCATACATATCCAAAATTGATCTCAATCTCCCTATACGCACTCCCCCCCCCGCACTGTACCCCTTCTTCCTGTACAGTGAATGATACACACCCCCCGCACTGTACCCCCTCTTCCTGTACAGTAATGGTCCCTCTGCTGTCACAGTCCACCTGGTCCCCGAAGCAGGAACATGGACCTTGTTCATTCCTTCTCCTGTCAGTTCGTCTGCCTCCTAAGCATTCCTCAAATTCATTCTCCTTTCTCTACCAATTACTGTTGCCTAGTGGTGAGCCTCTCCTCTTAACCAATTTTAACCCGAAGGTCTTGCTCACAAATCTGCTCTCTTCATTTTTCCAAGTCATTGTCTGATCATGAGTATGCCGCGCTGCCTCACAAAAGAATCCCTTGATGCCTTCCTTTCATGTGTATCAGGGATGAGAACAATTGCTGTTCTCTTCAACAGTCACTGAACTATTTGCTCATGGCATACCTGCTGCAAGTGCAGTCCATGGCTTTGGTGTGCTCACTGGGAGATGGCTAGCAAGTGCCTCCAAGAGTGGGGAGCATGGGATGCCTAGCTGGGATGATGGTTCATGGCTCCTTAAGGTGATAAACAACTCTTTCCTCCATGGACCTTATCCTTCAGTCCCACGCTACTCTGCCGCACACTTGGCACTGGGCAGCAGGGAGCTCTTCTGTTCTCTTGGTTTGGTTCAAGCTGAATCACTTTCGTGTATGTGTGTTGGGAAGCCCACACTCACGCGGGTATCCTTTCTATTCGAGATGAGGGTATCAGGTGGGCTATCCAGGGCTGAATGGGTTTGTTTGTTTGTTTTGTTTTGCTTTTTTTTTTAATGTTGAGGGTTTTAGGATTTAAAGAGATGAGTAAGCAGTTAAAAGCATACACTATTCTTGTAGAATACTTGTGTTTGATTCCCAGCACCCACATAACGCAGCTCACAACTGCCAGCAATTGCAATTCCAGGGAGATCAGAGGTCTCTGGCCTCTGCAAGTACCTGCCTTTATGAGCATAAACCCACACACATAATTAAAAATAAACTTAAAACATTACATCTTTTAATTGACAAAAAAATTGCATGTTTATCATGTCCAACACGACATTTTGAGATTCATATGTTTTAGGACGCTGATTTTGAGTGTTTTTTTTTTTTTTTTTTTTTTTGTCTCTATATTCTCCTGTGGCATCTGTGTCCCCTTTGAAACAGTAGATGTCTCATAATATTCCAATTATGTTTCTGCCTCAAAAAAGACAGTGGATTCCATTAGATCAAATCGAATGCCTCATTTAGCTTTAACTTCAATATGTATCATAGTGCCTTCCCTATAATGTATATTGTATATGCAACTGAATTGAATTGAAATAGGTACATAAACAATTTTGTTTTATAAACTTGCTTTGCCTTTTTTAAATTTAAATTTGATTTTTGAAGATAGTGAAATTGGGTGAGTACGAAAGCTCTGTAGGAAATTCACTTGCCGACGCTGGTAGTGAGTGGACATGGAGAATTTTGAGCAGAGGAATAGTGTGATGAAATGGGTATTTAGGGAAGATTGCTCTAGAAACAAGCTTTTATTATTGGTTTATACCACTGCAGCAAGCATAGTGGAGGGGGCTGGGCTGGGCTAGAGAGGGGCTGAGCCTTTGCAGAGAGCCACAGATTCCAAGTCGTTTCCCAAACCTCTGTGCTTTCCTTCCCATATCTGCTCAGGTGGGATCCTCATGATGGCATGTTCCTGGAGATAAAAGAGAATGTCGACGTTATTATTACTATTGTTATTATTATGTTGGTTTTTGGAGACAGGGTTTCTCTGTATAACAATCTTGGCTGTCCTTGAACTAGCTCTGTAGACCAGGTTGGCCTCGAATTCACAGAGCTCTATCTGCCTCTGCCTCCCTAGTCCTGGATCAAAGGCATGCACCACCACTACCCGGCTAACATTATTTTTACTCTTGAGCAAAGCACATTTCTGTAATACGCCCAAGTGAGCTACCTGCATACTTACCTGTGAGAACAATTTGTCATGAAGTACTAGGAAAGAGAGATTGTGTGACCAGTATTTAAAAGATGAGTAAGTGGCATCATGCACCACTACCCCACACTTCTGGTCCGTGGCAGTTTTCATTTTGGAATCATGGTTAATTATGAAGAAAGCATTTCAGTTTGGTTTCCCATCGATAGTCTGCTTTGTGGCTGACCATTCTCATGTTGGTGTTGTGGTTTGCCTCACTCCCAACCCATTTGCATTTTGTGCTTGACTCATGTGACTATTTCCTGGTTAAAGTTTATCCTTCATTTGTTTTGGACCATGCAACTCTACTGTGCCTTACTCTGCCTATTATTAGCCATTATAAACGTCTCGACTTAGAGCCGCTTGATGTATTTATTTATTTTTCAATTGCAGGAATATGACTCACTGATTAAAAAGGACGTTTCCAGCTACTTTGCACTTTTGGTTGTGTATTATGGATACTAAGGAGGAGAAGAAGGAACAAAAGGAACGGAAACAGAGTTATTTTGCTCGGTAAGCATTTATTTTGTAAAAATCGTATCAGTGCTTTAAAACAATAACACTCAAGAGGACTCTGACCTCATAAAATTGCTTGGCACTTTGTATTCTGTGAGATTGTTAAGCAGTAGAGCGGGTGATCAAAAAGTTAGATATCCTCCATTTTGTCCTTTGTAAACTTAGCATCCGAGGAATGACCTCTTTCTATATGGATGGGTATAGCCGTCCTCTGCCATCCTGTGAGTTGCTTGAAATTCTTGCTTAGTGTCTTCCCTGGAGTTTTAATCCTGGGTGCTTAGCTCCTAGGTCAGAAACTCAATTGGCTAGGCACTAATTTAAAATATGACACATTTAAAGCTTTTCGGAAAATCATGTCTAAGAACCTTGTATTTCGTAGGTGGAATGGGTGAGATGATGTCATTAGAGTCCGAGTCTTACGGCCTCAACTCGTCTAATGTGTGTGTGATTTATGATATAGTTTGTGGTATCTGCTAGCTACAGGTTCAAGCCACTGCTTGGCTGTCACTCACTAACTATATTTAAATGATCAATGAAGAGAGAGCCTCGTTTTCAAGTAATCATCATGGGCTTCTAAGTTGGTATGCTTAAGAACTAAATTTAGCCTCACTCTGTGTCCCCAGCCTGAAATCTATGCTTGCAAAGATACAGTTCCCATTTTCTAAATAAAAGACTTAAAACCAAAAGATTTTTTTTTTTTTTTTTTTTTTTTGCAATGGCTTTATCCAGAAATTAAGCTGTGGTTTAGACTTTTAATGGGAAAAGGGCAACAGGTTGATTACTTACTGTGTGTGAATGCTTTAGTGTATATCATCAAAGTAAGTCCTGGACATGGGTTATTTCAGTTCTGTTGAGCAAACAAGGTAAATAAGAATCAGAAAATGCTGTGTTCATTTCATGCAGTATGAGAGTCAGCATTCAAACACAAGGACATCTCCAAAGTATGTGCCACAGTCAGAATAACAAATCCCAGACCAGGCACTTGAGAAAGCAAGAGCTGAAGTATTTATTGTAGCAGGGTGTTTCCTGCTCTTGGGACTAGAGAGGGTAACAACATAAGAGAAGGAAGAAATCAGCCTTGTAGTGGATGAGCCATTATAAAAATAGTACATTTAGGGTAAGAACTATAAAACTGTTTTGACATAATTATCTATTTCTATGTAGATATATGTAATGTTAGAGAAATCCTGTGTTCTTCATTTACTTCCTCTTAGTAGTAACACGTTGTACTAGGACATTGACTTTTTTATGGGATGCCACCTCTGTTTAGTTTACCAGATTTGTGTGTGTGTGTGAGAGAGAGAGAGAGTCTGTGTGTGTGTGTGTGTGTGTGTGTGTGTGTGTGTGTGTGTGTGTGTGCATATTTAGTTATATGCAGTTATATCTTGTGAGTAGATTTGTCTGGCCAGTATCACAGTCAACTTGAACTGGTTCCTAAAGGAGGATACTGCGTCCTGCCTGCCCTTTTGTGACCATTCATGCCCTTCACTCTATTTGACACTCTTAACTACTAGTGAATTTCTAGAGTCCAGTTCAGCTCAAGACTATTGTATAAATGAATTCATTTACCATATGACTTATGGTAATTAGGTTTTATTTTCCTCTCTGTAATTTACTGGTGATCCATCCTAGCTGTTGTGTGTATTAGTTATTGATAATTTATTCCTGTATGTTAAATGGTTCTAGTCCATGGATGGAGGATGTTAGCTTTTCAGTCATTATTCTGTTGAAGAAAATTGTTTCTGCTTTGGGCTGTTACAAGCACAGCTGCTTATTACATCAGTCTATAAATTTTTGTGTGAACATTTTTCATTTCTCTAGGTTAAATACTCAGTTGCAGAGTCAAATAATAAATTAATGTTTTATTTTGTAAGAGACTGCCGATCCTTCCAGAATGAATGATTGTACCACCTTCAGCCATGTATGAGTGACCCAGCATTTGATGATGTCAGTGTTTATTTTAGTCATTTTAAGAGTGTGCATTAATAGTTCATCACAGTTTTAATTAATGCCTAATGAAACTAGTGTCTGTTCATACGTATACTGCCATCTCTAGCTCATCAGTGAAATATATTCTCATGTCTTTTATCCAGTTTTAAATTGTATCTCCTGGCTTTTACTGTTGAATTTGATGGACTTGATATGTGTTTTATGTATAGTCCTTTATGAGATGGCTTATTTTTATATATTTATTTGTTTTCTTTTTTCTTTTAGTAGAACAATAGTTTTAAATTTTGTTCTTGTCCATCTTACCAGTTTCTGCTTTTGTGAACTGTGAATTGTGCTTTAGTTGTCAAGGTGACAATTATGTCCCTGTCCTAGATTCTAGAGCTATTCCTTCCTGCTTTATTTTCTAAAGGCTTTCTTTCTTTCTTTTTTATAATATTTTATTTTGTATTTAAGGCCTTGTTCCAATTTGAGCTAAATTTTGGATGTGATGTAAAATTCAATCATGGTTCTTGGCTTCCCCTCCCCCTTCTTTTTTTCTTTTTTTTCTACAGTTGTCCTATGGAGATAGCTCTAAAAGCGAAAATGCTTTTTAGTCTGTCTATAAAGTGATTTTCTGATTCCAGTGCTAACCTGGTTGATGATGAATCACCTGCTTCATGCTAACTTCTTATCCTTAAAAAGTAAAGGGGCCCCTTGGACCAGCATTCAGAGCCACACTGGAAAAAGGCATTGCCTTTCAGCCCGTATACACACACTGATTTGTGATGTGTGCTTGCCCTCTTCTGAAAAACAGTCAAAGGAAAACACACAGCTAAAAGTGCATCTGTGTGACCTCGGCAGTCTCTGGCGTAGATCGAGGTAAAAGTCAGTGGGACTTTAAAAACAGGTCACAGATTTGTCACTGGGAAATGCAGATGCAGAGGGGGGGGGGAAGAAGAGGCTTGAGGGAGAGAAAGAAGAGGGGGAGGGAGGAAGAGAAGACAAGGAAGGGTAGGAAGGAGGGAAAGAGAGAGAGAGCTATCCTATAGTTCAGTTATACAATGAAAGCCAGAAATGGTGACATTATTAAAAAGCAAAATAACAAAATGATCTTACAGAAGAGTTAAGCAACCAAAACATTTTAGAGAAAGAATGGAAAGTAGGAAGGAAAGAGGAATGAAGTAAGAAGGAAAGAAAGATCTACCCAGAGTAGAGTATAAACCTTTCCAAATACTTCCTGATGAAACTTGGATTGTCCTAATGGAGGAATTGCCCAATGGAACCTACTTGAGAGCCAGTTTCTGACAACACCAGGGCTGATTTTTCTGGGGCAGTGTGCTTAAGGGCAGTCCAAGCAAGTCCAAGCAATCTCTGCAGAAACACAAAGTCAGGCCAAGGGCAAGGCCAGATTGATGCAATCACAGTTTTCCTGTAAACCAAATTACATATTTTACCCAAATCACTTCTTGTGTCCAGAGAAATGCAAAGGCAAGATTTGCCCTGCTCAGCCTGCTACCACTGTATGTATCTGATGGCCCCACACTGCTTTGAAACGGTTTTTTCTCTGCTTCCCCGCTTCTTCTCCTTGTTAGTAAATAGTCAACAATTTTCATGTGTGCCATTTCATCATGCGGTTTCATAAACATTGTATGACTCTGTTTGGTAAATACTCTTTTGCCAAACTTCTCCATTGATGTGCCTTTCAATTACAGCAAGGTTAAATCTGAGTCTACTTTGGATGGGCATAGTGCCACACACTATGGTATTCCTAGGGTATCCCTAGCACCCGATAGAAATGAAAGGCCTTGCAATCTGCAATCAGGGAATTCAGTGCTTAGTTTGGGACTGTTGGCCCAGCCCATCTGTGGAAGAATGCCAGAGTCTGCAGTAGACTGAAGTAGACTGAGGGAGGAGGGTCTCAAGTTTAACAGGAAGTGAATCCCAGACTAGCTTTGCCTACATAGTAAGGCCCCACCTCCAATTGAACTAGCGGTTTGGAATATCGCTGTGCAACACTCTGAGGGAGAGTGAGAATCCCCTTGGGTGGCCTTGGACACCTGGTTATCAGCAGTGTCCACTGAGTTATAGTTCTGAAGCAAGTGTTTATTTGGATTGAGTGATTTGTGGGACTGTTCCTCATGTCTTTGCAAAGAATTTGTAGACTCAGAGTGTATTGACTATGTATTTATTTACCCTTTGATCCTTAACAAGACTTGAAAACCCAAATACAAATCTAGGCGTGGTAGTGCATAACTGTCATCCCAGCACTCAGGAGGCGGAGGCAGTGGGATTCCCACAAGTTTGAGGGCCGTTTGTCTACATAGCAATTTCCACCAGACAGGACTAATACAGTGAGATCCAGTCTCAAAATAAATAAGAAAGAAAGGAGAAACACACACACACACACACACACACACACACACACACACACACACACACACACACACACACCTGAAAACATCATCAACAACAAAAGTAAACACACTCCTCACCAAATGAAGAAATAAATTATTAAATAAATTTATTCTGTGTGCTTCTGTGCTCTGGGCTGATCATTACGTAATACGGCCCTGCTTGCTTGCCTTTACATTGTTAAAATGCAATAAAATGCAAGCATTTATTTCTTAATTAGTGAACAGTAGGGCTCCCATTCTTCCACACTGGTTTGACATTGTAGCCCGTGATTTTCATGAGGGCTCCTGTATACTGTGCGTGGGCGCATGCGTAGTACATGCATCCATGCGCGTGATTTGATTATGGATTGCTCTGAGGCCTCAATATTCTAAACAGACACACTACTTCTAGATTGAACCTCAAGCCTATCTTTAAATATTTTGAGACCTGGTGTTATGGCGCCTGCCCCCAGGACTGATGACCCAAATTCCGAATTCCATCCAGAGATCCGCGTAGTGAAAGGAAGCTCCCACAATGTGTCCTCTTACCTCCATGACAAATGCTGAAACATGTACCTGCCCACACGCATGCTTAGGAAAACAGACACGTGTAAAGCTCTTTGAAAATGTAATGGCTCAGGCTCAAGGGTTGCTTGCTGACATTAAACCAAGTGG